TTAAGGCAACTTAAGACAAAGTTTTGGTTCCACATCATTGTTCAGTAAACAGTGACGATTCGGTGTGATATTTAGCCCCATCGCGCGAAAACCAATACTTTAGTATCCCCCTAATAAACTTACCAAAGAAAAAGTACTCCCACTCTTTCCCCGGTGAGTACAACTCGAGGCCAGCTTCTCACATGCCGACAGATCGACCTATCGCGACAGCCAGGTCGAAAACGCTCTCAGAAAGCTTTTCAAGAATGCCCTTTTTCAGAATTAAACGAAAATCCATTAAAAATGTGCTGATATAGGATGTTTTTCAATCAAATTCTAAAATGGGGCGTTGTTGAAAAATTTTCTGATATAGGACGTTTTCGAACTGGCCACCGAGATAGCTTGATATTCCACTCAGACATCGATTTGTATTTGTTTTGCATTCCATACCTAACAATAATAATTGCATAAAACATGTTTACACTATTTAAATTTGCACTTAATATTTTGAGCAAAAGTAAAAAGCTAAAAAAAGCTAAGTAATTTCAAGTAAAAGCTAAAAGCTAAGTCCAAATAAAAAAGTTCAATGTAGTCGGAAATATTTCAAATGGCAACACTGGTAGTAAAGACAAGGGTTTATATATATACGGTGACCATCCGTCCTGTATTATATGGGACAGTCCTCTTTTTTGACCCATTGTTTCTTTATTTTATATGGGACGTCAAGTGTTCTGTTTTTCTTTTAATGCCCTGTATTTGTCCCGTATTCGGCGTTTCGACGCCTTAACAGCTCATTAAAATGGCATGCCTATGATGGAGTTTTAAGGATGTTGGTATATGATCGCAATTTTCTCCATAAACAGTTATTATTTTCTAATCTGAATACCTGTGACACGAATTGAGAAGTACATACAGTGACCAAAATAGAAATTGCGACTCGACATTTTAGTAAGTTTTTCCTTAGTTTATTTAATGTTTATTATTTATTTTATGAAATATATAATACCGAATTTCCAACTTTGTGCAAAAAAACTATAAGAATTAATTCTGCAAATGTTTCACCAAAATTTAAAACTTTTTAATTAGAATCTTTTGAAAAAAATTTGGTTTGCGGTTTTGCGAGTGGAAAGTGCTGCTCATTTGATTCGCTTTCAAAAAAATGGTCGAATATACCTAATATGTAAGCTGTTGTGGAAAAAATTTGCAAACTTATTTTTTGTCCCGTATTCTCTCTCTCATAATATGGTCACCGTATCTATATAGTATGTATGCATGTACATGCCTAATTGCTTGCTAAAGGAAGCAAAGGTAGATCGCATTAGGTTCTGACGATTTGTATGGTCTGAAGGTGGATACAGCCCATAAGTATCGAGTATGTACTTGTATTTACTCGTATCGTTTCATCCGTACCCTCACCAGAAGCGTATATCTCAAGGTGGTAAAGCGTGGGAGAGGAAGGCTCATAAAGCCACTGATAAAAATGTTTAACGCTTGCCTGTCGTTTAACCATATACCCACTTTTTGGAGAAACGTTCGATTCCCAAACAAGGAAAAGGCGATTGTGCGTTAGCAATATGCTTCATTCTGATAAGTCTGACATCTTTAATGTTAAAGAGCATATAACGCTATGTTTAAAGTATCTACATTATACCAAGGGTTATTTCCAGAGTGCAATGTCCGGAGGACCTTGTAGCAAAGATTGAAATGAAACCGAATGCAGGTGGAAGGAAGGCTTAGCTGATGCTGAAGGGACTTTTGACAACCCTAACTTTGACTATAAGTGCTCAGCAGACAGGTGACATGGGGTGGATGAGACAATCTTAAGGCGAAACCACTGCATATTATCTGGAATATCGCTCGTAAAGATGATATTTGTACAAATTAATAGGATGCAAGGGGATGACCTCAAGTCGGTGTACTTCCACCACACTTGTGCTGTTTGGTAGCCAATTCCACATCAAAGGAAATGCAAAGATCAATCGTACCCCATCTTAAAAGATGACGTTTGTGTATTAGCGCAAGAGAAATTTCTTAGGGCCAGTTTTTCAGTGCACGGCCGTAGTTTAAACTAAGGCTAAGCGCCTGATCTGGCTAGTTTAAACTAACATCAGCCAAGCAAATGTCAGCCAGCTATTCATTTTGAACTCAGTTTACTTAATCTAAGTTTAAACTGGCACTGAAAAACTGGCCCTTAGAGTTGTCTGGGTAAACACGCGGTTTCTTAATGCTCTGTTGAAGCTACAAACCCTGGATTTAGCGATGAAGATATGATATGGCGTAATTATTCTGGATTAGGGATGAGCGGAGCTCCAACTTGTTTCGAAGGTTTGTCAGATATTAAGAATTTTTTGTCCTCAAATGACAAACTGATCCCCAGTTTCACTTTTCGGAGAAAGTACCTCGGTAGCTTTCCTACTTCAAAAATAGCCAGACACTCTCATGGGCAACAGACGACAGCAAGACGGAAAATGGAACTGACATCTGGACGCAGATTATAATTGCTTTCCCGCTTAAGATACAATGAAAATAATTTCGCAATAGGAAGTGGTTGCAATGCTTAAGATAAAGGACTGGTACTTGGCAAAAGGTAGTGCGTATAGCAAATCAAAGTCTCCATTGTCAAACAAGCTGATGTAGATTCCCAAGAAACAGCTTATTTAAGAATTGTCCGGAAATATATAAAAGCTTAATATTTTGTGGTTACTACGACACTGTGACTTTCATGTAACTGCTGACGTAATTAGTGAACTACGAGCCTTTGGATGATCTAATATAAGTGAAAGAGTATAGCAGGAGCTGCCAGCTACATCAAGAATCTCCCTTGCTGATATACTGACGCCTGCAAAACAATTAAATCTTTCCTAAAGAAGTGCAAAAATTCCTTCAAAACCAGACAAAGAGGGAATTGCGAACCCTGGTAGTAATGATTACGGGTCACAATTCGTGAACATACCATATGGTCACCATAGGTATCATATATGGGCCACTGGGTAAATCTTGATGGAATACCTATAAGGCCAGTACTAAGCAAGGGCTTCAAGCACTATGTGCTACTATGCCTGAGTTACCGAAAAGAAGTTTTAGATTTCTTAGATCTACCATAAGCCGAATTATCCAGAGTAGAATTTCGAAGTAATAAAAAAATCTGTGTCATATGTGAACGTAATTCGTTTTTAATTTCATTAAAAACACCCCCCACAACTGGTTCCACATAATTTTTCTACAAGTCTTCCATGATCTTAATACTTCTTTAAAAATATGAAAGGCGCGTTTGACAGTACTTATTATGCTCTTCCGCTTTCACGCTATATATTTTTTATCTCCAGAACAACTCTAAGCGAAACCATGATTCTTTTTTGCACCTAGGGATGCTTCAAAACCGAAATTTTGCATTTTTTCAATTACATATATGTAACCTAGTCAGGTCTGGACTAGGGTTGTTTACCAACCACATGCGTTTTGCTAAAAGGCACCATTTCTGATTTCGGAAGATTTTCGATCGATTATATGTACTAGTAAATTTCTCATTGCCCTGTAGTTCGCACACATGTGGCGCCGCTGGTCCTTTTGTTTCAATTATGCTTACGGTGACCATCCGCACTTTATCTAAAAAAAAATCTATTTAGTCCTTCATTTCAAAACGTGTTGAAAGTACGTTTTTTGGTTCGATTTTAGGCATAAATCAATTTCAGCCTAATAGAAAAATATTTGGAGGAAAGTGCAGAGAGTACAAAAAATTTGGCGAGCTCAGCCTTGCAATTCATCTTGCCGGGGCGTGTGCCTTTACCATTCTTATTTAATATTAGTAAAAAAAAAAGAAAATGAACAATTGTTAAAGCTTATTTTGTTCTACGGAGAATATTTCGCCGTTGGGCTTCGCTATAGCTTAGGTTAAGTTACGTTGACGGAATGTGGAGTCATATATCAGCCAGAAGGTCTATTGTGATATTACTAGTGTGACTTGCTATGTACCACATCTACTTTCCCATGTAAAGGATCCACACAGCGGAGAAGGTTGTAAATACTCAAGGATCCTTTGGCCGAGTTCAACAACGCATGCCAGTCGTTTCTATTCTGTGTTAAATGGCGGCAATTGGAATTGCTAGGTTAAGCCAAGTCCTTCCCCTTAGTCTTTCTTTAGCAGTGGGGGATTCCCTCGCCCTCGTTTGTCACCAGCGAGTTCCGAGTTGAATACTTTCAAAGTTGAAGCGTCGCTGTCCATCCGAACAACATGTCCAAACCAGAGAAGCCGCCGTATTTTAATTCACTGTGTCCATGGCGTTGTAAAGCTCATACAGTTCTTCGTTCCATGTTTCAGATTATGTTGCCGTATTTAGGACAAGCCAGCGCAGTTGTAGATAAAGTGCCCGATAATTTTCACCTCCTCCTCGTAGCACGAAGGCCTTTACGCTCTCTCCGTATTCCCATTATACAGTGTTCGATGATAAAAGCAACCTCTAAGCGAACGGAGGGATGATCAAGGATAACTAGATACTCAGACCTGTTCCCATTAATTCGTGGACCACCTGTGATTGTCATTTTCAATTTTGCCGTCGTTAGTTTGAAGATAGTTCGCCTGACGGCATTTGGGGCAGAATTTAATGACTGCATATTAGCTCTTCCGTGCCAACTTGTTCGCAATGCTGTTTCCAGGAATATTTATGTGCCCGGACACCCAAACTACATTATTTGTGCTTCGCGCTGTCAAATCGCTTAGAAGCATTCTTCCTTAAATTCGAAGAGGTATTGTGGCACCAAATCTGTTTTCGTAGGGTTAGACCATATGGCTCAACCCAATAGCCTAACTTTGCTGTACTGTCCTTATAGTGTTTCTAGAGCAAGTTTTACTTTTTAATCTAACGTTTGAAATCCGCCTTAAAATTTTGGGCTTAGGGTAAGTCTATCATTTCTGGAGTCTTTCCTGGATGAGCTGGTATACTGAAAATGAAATCAGCTAACCAAATCATGTGTTGAGAGAAACATATTTAGTTAAATAAAAAGTAACTATACTCTTTTCTCAGTGTAACAGAGCCGACAATCCAGCCATAGATGGGATTCTCTTACATTGTACCCATCTTGTTATTTCATGAGGGCAGTTGAAAGTTTCCACCGTAGTTTGAAATCGAAAATAATGACATCAGAGCAGATGGATTCGGGGTCAATGATTTTAACATTTGAAGCAGATTATAGAGTGAAAATAAATTCAATTTCTAATCACATATAATTGATCTGTATTTGACTGATGCCGTCTTTGATAGATGCTATAATACCAGATATATGTATTTACAAACATTGTTTGAAAATGCATTAGCTTTTTTGCTGCTTCGTATTACATATTAATTAGTTTCGCGTGTGCGTAATCAGTAAATTGCAGTACGATTCGTTTTTCAAAAGATCAACTCAAGATCAAACTGCAATCTCACGATCGGCAAGCCTTGAGTATAAATACATAACCACATACAAATCTAAGTATAAGCGGAATATTTTGGAAAATACCTTTCCTATCAGTTTGCATCAGTAGCACATGTTTCGAACTTTCGCGCCATTAACGTATTAAATCAATGCAAATATGCCCAAAGCACAATTCAACAAATTTATAGCGGACGAAGCCGATCCACTGCACCCAGAAAATAGTTTGCATACAAACATTGAACGAGTGAAACACGATGAAGCGGTAAGCGAAGAAAACAAAAATTTATTTAAAACATAATACATATACTTTCACATGTGAAACTAAAGTCCACTTCACAGGTCGTCATCAGCAGTGTAGCGGAGGATATTCTGCCAGCTAGTGGTGGTGAACGCGATAAATGGAGCCGCGAAATAGAATTTCTCTTTTCATGCATAGCTCTCTCTGTGGGTTTGGGCAATGTGTGGCGTTTTCCTTTCATAGCGCTGGAGAATGGGGGTGGCGCTTTCGTTATACCCTATGTCATTGTGCTCTTGCTCATCGGGCGTCCCATCTACTATATGGAGGTGCTGATCGGACAGTTTGCAAGCCGCGGTGCAGTGAAGGTGTTCGACATGGCACCCATTATGAAAGGTGATTTGTTGCAGAACTTTTGATTTTTTAATTTAAGTATTCAATTAGATAAAGAAATTCTGCTAGATAATCCGAAAAAGTGTTCCTCCTAAATCGGATGTTGTAGTTAAACAAGCATAATTAGCGTAATGGATATATGTATAGTTTAGAAATATATATTCTACTCTCGTCATAATGAAAGATATCACATCTTGTGTTCTGTTAAGATTTTCTGTATTTCTGGAGGTCGCGGGTTTAATCGAGTGTGTCGGGAAATGATGTTTCCCCTCCCAACCCCAGAATTTTAAACATCTCCCGGTACCCCACATTCCGGTCATTTTAAAACTACTACCGTGGGTTCCGCGGATACCGATATCCCGTACACGTTTCTAGTTCCAAATTCTGTTGCAAATGTTGTTGGTGTTAAATTTCACCATTGTTTGTGAGGGCCCCAACTTTTTTAGCAATATTCTTTAACTGAGTGGGCCACCATAATGTTCTTAGAGTCTTCAAATTGTTTTCTATCGTTTACATTTGCCAAGCTTCCTCCCAGAGCCTGATTGGATACGCTTAATTCGAATCTGTCTGAAAATACGACTGTTAAATACTCCCATGATCTACGTTGATTCTGCCAAGGACTCTATACAGCTTTCCTATTCCATTAATACGAGCATTAATTGTTATTAGTAAACATGCTCGATCGTTTTAACGAGTTTGGCCGAGCCCTATAAAGCACGGCAGTCGTTTCTCTTTTCTGCCAAGTGGAGCCAAATTCTCCTACAGTATGTCTTTCCATCATAGAAGGGACCTTCCTCTTCCCCTGCTAACACCAGCGGGTAACGAGTTGAATACTTCCAGGTCTGGAATAATTGCACCAACCACGTCCTCATCAAGCCAACAAGGCCGCCGTGCACTATGTCTATGTGGTTGTAAAGTTCGCAAAGCCCAAAGTTCTATCGTATGCGGTATGAGCCATCGCCGAGTAAGAGCTCATTATTGTCCTCATTGAATTTTGTCACTGACCACATTTCTGCGACATATACAAGTACAGGAATAATGAGGGATAGAGAGTGGGTTTTATATGGGCTTTACTTCACAATTGCCTGTTCAGCCCAAAACGACAATTGTTGGCAGGAGTGATTCTCTGTTGGATTTCAAGGCTGGAATGCGTATTTCCGAATAACCAAAGTGCTACACCTTTTCGAAATAGCAACTGTCCTGAGTGCCGAAATCCGAATCTGCCTTCACAAAACATGATTCATGCACTCTATCAACTCCTCAACGCCGAACTCTGGCAGACTAGTTGCCTCTCACCCACGAAACTGCTATTCTCGTCCTCGACTGGATGCTAGAGTTTATCTTTTCTGCTGGTTTCAGTGCAAGTATCATTCAATTGAATAAGAAAGTATTCCCTCATACTCTGGACATCGACCACCACGTCACCGCCTTTGTTATTTCTGGAATTAATGATGCGAGGATTGTTCATTCCAGTCAGAAAAAATGCAATAAAGTATAAAAAAAAAATTTAAAATGAGACCAAGCGTGAATTTTCAGTGATTTTTATTTGTTTTACTTTTGATTTAAAGAAAAAGTTTGAACTTATTTTGCTTTGCTTTGTTCTAAATAAATGCTAAGTATCTTTAATGTTAATAGTGTTATTGTAATTTTTGGTCATGACTTCATTGCAACATATTTAAGCATTCTCACTGTATGAAAACTATGTAAAATAATGCCGGTTCACCGGTTTTTTTGTAATTCGAAAATAGAGAACCGGGTTTTTTCAAAGAAAGAAAAAGGCGAATAAGCGAATGATAGCCTGAATCATTTGCCAACCAATTTTGAAACCATAACAACCCTCCTGGAAGATGCAGAAACAAAAACACCTGGAAGCGAAAACACGAAACTAAACTAAATTTGAAAATAAAAAAGCCCTTCTTAAAAAACAATAAAACGGTAACAAAAAAATAAAACAAACAAAAAATCAAAAACCATTGCGCCTGGACCACACTACTAAAGTGGAACTTCTTTTCATTAATTTCTAGTGCTCTTCATATTGCAGAAATGCATCTTAAGTTTAATGTTAACCTCATCTTTAGTCTTGGTCTTCGTCTTTATATTCGTCCTCCTATTCGATTTTCACTTTCGTAAACATATTCGTTTCGTTTTCTTATTCGTTTTACTCCCCGAATTCGTCTTTATATTCGTATTCGTTCTTGTATTCGTAGTCCTTTTGGGTTGGTCTTTGCAGTGGTTTTTATTCGTATTTGTCATTGCCTTCCTATTGGCCTCCGCATTTGCCTTCGCAGTCGTTATCGTATTCGTATTCGTTTTCCTACTCGTCCCCGTCTTTATATTCGTTTTCGTATCCGCGTTCGCCTTTAATTGATCCATTCAATCAAAAAGCAATCAATTTTGAAACCATAAAAACTCTTATCATCTACAGAAAAATTTCTTTCGAATGCACCTTTTTGGTTGCAAGGTTGGCATAGTAGAACCGCCGTAGCGTGCAAGATACGAGTATGTATAGTATGTAATAGCTCTGGCCAAACTCTGGTGTGTAACGGTAGATTGATAGGAGGCTCGAAAGGCCTTTTCGTACAAGCAAAGTTTATTGAAACAATTATGCTCAAATGAGAAACTTCTGAAATTCACCTCGCTTACACCGACTATTTCTGATTTACTCCAAACAACTGTAAAATAAACATTTTCCATTTTTTTTTAAGTTCCATCATTCAATTTCTTCTTAATCTCTATGAGTACACAAAAATATTTAATTTAAGTAACAACTAAATAAAGTATCGATATAAGTATTATAACCGTAATTCCCAACTCCACAGGCATTGCGTATGGCCAAGTTTACGCTACAGCATTAGCGACTACCTACTATGCCGCCATTATGGCACTGACAATCAAATACTTACTCGCCTCCTTCACGCCATTGCTACCTTGGGCGACATGTCAGCCGGAATGGGGCGCCAATTGTGCGTCAATCACCACCTACAACTCCAGCGTAATTGGCAATACATCTCATGAGAAATTGGTCTCCTCAGCAGAGTTGTATTTCACGTAAGTACGAGTGGCACAATGAATTTATAAATATGCATGTATGTACTTAAATAGTCACTTAAGTTTTACTTACTTACTTAAAGCAAGGTAGTGCTGCGCGAAAAGGATAATATTGAAGATGGTATCGGGGCGCCAAGTTTGGATCTTGTGATCTATTTATTTCTGGTATGGGTTTTGATTGCAGTTACTTTGATTAAAGGTAAGTTCTACTACAACTCGTGTACGTACATATGTATGTATGTATGTATGTGTTGAGCTTTACTAATGCTTTCTCCAATTTTATTTTTCTTCAGGCATTCAAAGCTCCGGCAAAGCTTCGTATTTTCTAGCCTTATTTCCTTATGTCGTACTTTTTATTCTACTCGGGCGCGCACTAACTTTGCCTGGCGCCTGGGATGGTATAGTTTACTTCCTAAAACCGCAATGGGATCAGCTACTTAATCCTGAGGTAAGTATCGTCAATTATAGTTGTTTACTTAAGTTTTAATTTGATTTTTATTCAATGGTAGGTTTGGTATGCTGCTATTACACAGATGTTCTTTTCGTTAGCCATCTGCTTTGGCACGCTAATCATGTATGCTTCATATAATAATTTTCATAAGCGCGTTCACAAGTGAGTAATTTATGAAATTTTTTGAAATTTTTATCACACTAATTGGACGACTGAATTCTCCTGTATGGAATAATCGACTGTTCACCAGAGAGCAAAGGTGTAGTATAGGGACGGGTTGTGGGGGGTTGAAATTCGATTTTTTCCGAATTTTGAACATTGCCCAACCATTCGATTATTCGATTCGAAATTTCGAGTTAAATATTTAAAACCAAGTCATAAAATCTGTATCGTTCGTTCGATATTCAAAAAGGCTTGCGCTGTAGATGTGTAATATGGTTTTAGTTTTGCGCCATATGAATGTATGTAAGAAAATCAAAATCAAATTATTTAATAAGCTAAATAAATTACCCCAATATGGGTATCAATCGAAATGATTTTAAATGAACTTTATTTTTTAATAACATTTAAGAGGGGTGCCACCTGTTTGAAAAGTCGAATTTAGTTAAAGAAGTATTGTGCTTAAAATACTATGCAACAATTACAATATTTTTGAGGTGATTGAAGAATAAAAAAAAAAAAGTTAAAGTTAAGTTAAAAGTTAAACTCAAATTACACTGTAGGACAGCCGAAACCAGCCCGGACTTTGTTAACATTTTCTGAAAGTATACCAATCCAGTAGTAAAACACTCGGCGGATTTGCGAAAGTTAGCTCGTATTTTTATTTCATGGCCTACTAAAGTTTTCATGCCTCGGCCTAAGTAGTTTTCAAAAAAATAGTTAAAATAAATATCTGAGCGAAATTAAAGGTTAGGACATATAAAATAAAATTTCATGGGAAATATTTTCGTAGATAATTTTAACCTATTAGCTCCCGCCTAAAAGGGCCATTTTGATCCTTACTTCATTAAATCCCGCAAAAAGCAACTTTGGAAGGTCGTTAGAGGACTGGTATACTCTAGAAAATTATTCTCCGGAAAATTTTACTAGGGGTCATCTCTGGCAAAAGCTTCGTGCTATTTACTAACGTAAAAGCCTCTAAAAATTTAAAATAAAAAATCAACAAAAAAATACTTTACATTATTTTTTTTTTTATTTAAGAATAACAGTTCCTTCTTGGCACAGATGTTTTGTTTCGATGCATCAGATCGGAAAACATGTATTTTTTACTTGCATCCCTAAGACAAATGGAGGGCCACACACAGTGATGACAAATTTAACCAGAAACAAAAAAGTTGAAGAGTTGATTTTTTGGAAATAAATATGAAATTCGAATTTTTCTAGAAAAATTCGATGTTATCCGAATTGCAGCAACACAAAGTTCGATTTCAAAAATTCGCCATTTCGGAGCTAAAATTCGAATATCGAAGCTTCGAATATCGAATTTACCTATCCCTAGTGTAGTATGATATGCACAAACGATGCTCTGAATGCTATTTTAGATTTTCTGCCATTGGATTTGGTAGGATAACCGACGGAAGCGCTCGCTACTCTTTGCTGAGAGATATCACTGTTAGCGTTTGGCCGATTTGCATCTGCGCCGATTTGTGGCGTGCGCCTTAATGTCACACAAAGAGGAGGGACCTACAGTTTTACGCCGACTCCGTACGGCGATTGTATTTTTATGAAAAGGTGTTTTCCGGAGCAGAAATACACTCAGAGGTTTGCCATTACCTGCCGGGGTGCGACTGCTATTAGAAAAAACGTTTATATTTTACTTATGATGTCAGTCGGAAACTTAGCTTGATTTCAGGCCCTGCATATTCCACGCTGCGGTCTAAGCTATCATGGTGACATCTTAATTTTTATTAAGAGACAGGCTGAAATCAAAGCTCTGAGCTCTTTCACATTTTATTCCAAAATTGCGCTGGACTGCCACCTAAGCCGTAGGATATGGCCAAGCTGAACAGACTTCATCTCGCTTGGGCCTCTAATCTTAGGGACATAGAAGCAAACTCTATGGTAGGCGAACTTGCAAGGCAAATCACAACCAAGCAGATTTTTCCTGATAAAAAACGCAAGGGTTGCCATGCACAACTTGCAAGCTAATACTTAAAGAACTTAAGTATGTACAAACAAGCTGGAGGCAGATGGAGTCAAAGTACGACTTGTCGAATTTCCAGGCCGACGTTTGAATGGGATCGGAAAAGGCCACGAAGAATATACTCTCTGAGAAGTGAAGATATCTAACATTGCGGGAGCTCTGACCGGGTACTGTCTAATAGGAAAACATGTAGAAAGACTCGGCATGCCTTTCCAAAGGTGTTGCAGAAGATGAAGAAGTACTGTACTAAGTACTAAAGCTATTCTAATGGAAGTATTTAAGCGAATAAGCTTTAAACCATCGACAACCCTATATATGTAAACAGGTGGTCGAAAATATCTCCAAAAAGATCAAAAGATTCTGAAACTGTTAAAATTGGGCTCAAGTTTTATAAGAAGGTGTGATCTTCTATGACAATCAGGCAACCCCGAAAGCTTTAGACAAAGTCCCTTACTGAATACCATCGATCATATCAATATTTCTAGTCGTGCGACGAATTGGCTGAAAAAGGTACGATAACCTTCCGGAAAGGATACGGTAGCCGTAGCATAGTAACTTTGAAACAGTTTGTTAGAGATCACATCATTCTAGTAGCTGATGGATGCTGGTACAACTTTTTGGCTTGTGAAACTTCCAAGTTTACCTGGTCTTCCTATAACAGGCAACGCACAACATTGTTCTTGAGTTTAAACAGAAAAGCGATGCCTTTTCTTATGAAGGCTCTTACGGAGCACTTTCTAATGTGTAATCAAAATTGGCCTGTATTGGCCTATTAGAGCCGACGATCTACTCTGCTTATGAAACATGTAATACCGAATCGAAAAAGTTGCCAAACGGAAAAATAAATTAACAAAATGACAGTACTGATCACGACTTTCACTGAAAACCACTAGCCGACTCTAGTAGTCGAAGTGCCAAAATATACTCTTATTTTTATGATAGAAATTCGTTCAAAAAAACTGTATATTTGTTTTATAAGACATTTGAGAATTGAAAAAGTGTTGAAGACTATTTTCAGGTATTCCAAGGATTTTTAAAAGTGATTTAGGTGTCATATTTTAATAGGAATATCGATATTTTTTGAATGTGTGTAGTTAAATATGGATGTTCTATTAGGGTATAGATAATTTCTGAGTTTCTATTATTACTATAGCATCAGTCTCACAAATCATTAATCATCATAACTTTTTTGTCCTTAATTTGGTGCTTTAACCCTAAAAAGTTTCAATTGAATATTCGAAAAAAAAGAAAACTTAGACGAATATAACTTCAGATTGATGAACCTTAAAGGCACCGTTGAATATTCTGCTTCCTTACGCTTTTTTTAAGATCTCAATGGGTAGGTTCAGAAGGCGCAGAAGTTGAGCGCAACCGTTGCTAAAAAATCAGTGATCGTAATGCGTCTTCTGAACGGCTTCATACATTAGCTGTCAAATTCAAAACACACCACACGTTGTCTCAAATGATCAGAAAAATATTACGATCATCTAACACGCAACTGTTCAGTTGATCAGAAGTACAAAACAACGCGTTCAGCAGGTGCAATCGAAACAGTTACTGAGCTGTTGCGCCTTCTGAACGTGCCCAATTACCCAAAAATATAAAGAACTTTTGATTATTTGTTCATTCTTTCATTCCACAGGGACGTAATGATCGTGACGACAATAGACTCCATTACCTCAATACTCGCTGGTTGTGTTATCTTCGGCATACTTGGCAATCTCGCGCTGGAAACCAACAACACAGATATATCGAAAGTGGTTAAGGGTGGTGCAGGCTTGGCTTTCATCTCATATCCAGAAGCTATAGCAAAATTTAAATATTTACCGCAATTTTTTGCTGTGCTCTTCTTCTTCATGCTCCTCGTATTAGGTAAGTATTGCTTTCGACAACCGCTGGAGATAAAGTTAGAGCGGAGAATAATAATAGGGTTATTCCTTCTTCAAAGGTATCGGCAGTAATATTGGCATGTCTTCGTGTGTTATAACAGTATTTAAGGATCGTTTTGATCACATACCACAATGGGCAATCACAATCGGATTCGCAATCTGCAGCTTCCTTTGTGGCCTGATCTATACAACACCTGGCGGACAATATCTACTGAATTTGGTGGATTTCTTTGGTTGTTCATTCATTGCACTTTTCTTGGCCATAGGCGAGATTGTGACTATTTCATGGATTTATGGTGAGTGTGTTTCGTGTAGACTCTGCTTAGTAAAGTATTTAAAGTCCTATGTCTTTTTTTCAATAATTATAGGCGTCAAACGCTTCTGCAAGGACATTGAGTTCATGTGCAATCTAAAGACCGGGTTCTATTGGCGCATCTGTTGGGCCATTTTCACACCTGGTCTCATGTTTCTCGTGCTTGTCTATACGCTGATCAACTACAAACCGCTTGAATATAAGGGTATGGAGTATCCGGAATATATTTACAATATTGCTTGGCTGATATGGCTCATTGGTGTGGGTCAACTGCCCTTTTGGGCTTTATATACCGTCTACAAGCAGCCGGGCAATACTTTTATGCAGGTTTGTGTTAGTTGAATAATCAGAAAATTTTTATAAAATGTGTGTAATGAATTTATGTTTTCAACAGAAATTCAATCGAGCCATAAAACCAAAGTCCAACTGGGGTCCAGCGTCAGCTGAGCAATTGGAAAAGTATATACTATTTATGAAAAATTCACAGAATCACAACCCTGAACATGGTTGGACGTCGCGAATTTATGATAACATTTTCGGTTGATTTCAATCGATTGATTTTGTTTATGTTTTTGAAGTACTTAAGTGCCTGATTAACTCAAATACACAGTTTTATTAAGGAAAAAAGAAATGCAAAGTTTTTAGTTTAAAATTTATTTCAATATGGTTCATAGCTTAATTTTATTGCTTATTTCCCTTTTTTAAATTTTTATATTCAATGAAAGAAAATATTTATTTGCTATTGAATACATACTAAGCAGTAGATTTTACTCGTTTGATACGCTAGATTTTTGATATTACCGTTAAACGGTTCTTGGGGTAATTACAGTGTAGAGGAGCGTGGAAAAGAAGATAAATGAGAAAAAGTGCATTTACTAGATTTTTAGAAAGCGTAATTATGTTTTAGTACATCTTAAACGTATTTTAGGCCGGCGGTATAGTAGTGGCAAGTGGCAAGCGGATTGTTTTCTCAGCATGCAGAAAATTATATCTACTTTTTCAAATTAATATAGATGTTTTTATTTTACGATTTTTTTAGCGAAGAAGTGCGGTACGATTTATGATTTTTTATTTTTGTTTTTGAAAATTTGTGAGTTTTGTGACATTGGTTAAAAATTTTTTAAAACCAGTATTATTACTGATTTTTTTCTGTTACGATTTTAAAAATATTTGCAATTTTTTATTCATTTTATTTTGGCTAAGCCATTTTAATGCTTGTGGACAAATATATTTTGTGGCACTTCCTAATTTACAAAAGTTTAAAATAATTAAATGTATAATTAAAGTTGCAAATTTTGCTATTTCGGCAAATCAGCTTTAAATAAATGGAATTTGTTCCCCTTTTTAATGCATTGTTAACCAACTCATCATTTCACTTGTGTGCAAATGTATGTATATAGATAAACAATAATTGGCTTAAAGCCTGATTGTGACAACTTAACTTAACTTAACTTAACTTAACGGAACGTAGAACTTAGAGAATCAAAATGAAACAGATTTCGACGTGGCATTAAGTTACAATAAGCAATGAAGCTATAGAACTTATTTGCAATCAAAAAATAAGGGGATTCACAGGATGTCATAACAATCATATTATCATAAAAGTCATGAATTTGTCTGTGTGGCGGTTGCCATGAATATACTTAACCTTTACAAAATGTATGACAATACATGTGACTATTTATGATACCTTGCAAATCACTTATTTTTTTGTCAAATTTTGTCTGGATATTGTTTTAGCTAAAAATGTATTTGAAATATACTGGAAAATCTATTTACCACTTTTATACATACAAACATACTATATGTAGTTAATTAACAGTTTTGATTTTGTTCAAACTTTCTGAATTTGAAAAGATATTTGTTAGAAAAGTTGAACCTTTTTTGTTATATTTAATATTAAATTTAGGACTAAAAGTGAGAGTGCGTGACGTCCATAGCGTCACCGCAGTTACCAAAAAAGTTGAATCGATGTATTTGTATGAAGTAAGCTAGCTGAACAAAGCTGACGGAGACAGTGATGCACAAATTAGCTCAACTTTTAACTTTGCTTATAAGTTTGCGGCAAGTGACAACTATTCTATGTTCTGTTAATATATTTGAATGTTAGTGAACATTTTTAGATTTACTCAAAAAAGAAATGTTAAATATCAAAAAAGAATCAGTGATGCCAATTTGGTTAAATTTGAATTTTTCGTGGGAATGGCATTAAATTATGGGGGAATTAATTATAGAAACGATTCTTAGTGGAACATTGCTATTAGGAGAATAAATTACATCTTCTAATAACAATCTGTCTTTACGACACTTTTCACTTTCACTTTACCTTTATAAATATTTAACACCATCATTTCTCACTTCGCTTTCGGTGCCAAGCTAACGTCCGGCAAAGTTTTGAGCAGTCAATTAAAAGTAAGTATTTATGAATAAGTATTTAGAAATTGTTTCCAAAATAATTAAAAAAAAACTGCGATCAGAAATAGGCTTGGAATTGATACTTTGGAGGCAAGTTTACAAACAGAACAACTGTTTAAAAATAAAACCAATTTGATTTTAGTTCGAAGGAATAATGCCTGATATGCATGCATATATTATAGATATGCTTTGCGAAATATACTGAGAAGTAATAGTTTTATATATTATTAAAAACGATTGTCCTTATTATCTCATAATTATTGATATCACTTGGTTTTTTAATACAAATAACAATGAAGTGCTTTAAATAGTAAACGTTTTTTTGGGGAATACCATAGAAAATAGGGGAATTTTTTCAGTAATTTCCTCCAAATTCGCCTTAAAAGAGTTGGCATCCCTGGAAAGAATAGCTAATAGAATAAGTGCAAAAGGTCAAAGCAATTTCGGCAAGGAGTTTATGATTACTAGAGATGCCAGATCCAAATAAAAATAAATATAATAACATACTTAATTTTTATATTAAATAAAAAAACAGTTTTAATAACCAGATTTGTCGAAAAGCTATCAAGTAGCTAAACACTTCGTAAATACGTAAAAAGTGGAGATACGATTTTTCTATATTACGACAACTATGTACATATATGAGCATTCAACAGAAGCTTTATAAATTTTGGCCCTGCTTAAGGAAATGGTTACATTTTTTCGAATTACCAATTTTACTGAATTTGTTGCTAAATTTTTACATGCAGCGTATGTAGAAGAAAATATGCATGACCGTCAAGAAAAGTGGGCTACAAAACGGCATACTTTTCTTTCTAAAAGGGGTAATTAGGGAGTCAAGAATTTTAAAGCAAATTTTCACAAAGTTCTCGCACTTGGTGATGCAAAAATATTCACATCATGCGTCAAAAAGTGCGATAGCAATCCGAAAATTGTCGCTAACTGGTTACAGAATCTCCCCAGATGTGTTCAATTAATCGACGCTGACAATGATGGGGACGCAATGGACGTTATGAACTTTCACTTTCAGAACTCGAATTTAAATTTTTCTTTCATTTTTAACTTCCTACTTATGTTTAGAAGGCCACAAAAAATGAAAATTTATAGCAAAATGTCGTGTCAAAAAGGTGTAACACATGTACATTAGGGTGTACGAGAAATACTTTTTTTTACGTACGTACGTAATTTTCTTAACCTCTATGTTTTGTTTTTGCCTAAGTAGGATGTATATAAAGTTTTGTTGCTGTAGGTCCATGATAACCCGACTTCAAGTTGAACTTTTGGTTAAGATTGTATTGAGAATACCGCTTGTTTTCTTGCATGTCCTTCTTTTCGTTTTGTTTTTTGTTTGGGGACCAATTATGGATACAAACGGGAAGGTGATTCCCAAAACAGCGAGAGCTAAGGCGCCACCGTGCTTTTCTGCTGCAGGAAAAGCACAACGCTACGTATTATGAGATTGCGGGGATAGATGGTCTATCATAGACCACGTGGTTGACGCGTGAGATGTCCCATAACAATAGCTTGGGTACGTGGCACATTATCGGAATCAACGGAAATCTTCGAGATGCTTCAAGAGTGCCTAATTTAAGGCGTATACGATTGAATTCCAAGATGGCACGGCTTATTTTACGTTAAAAACAGAAACGGAAAAATTACGGGCCGATTTTATAATAGAATTAAAGAATATTTTAAAATTTAAAGGGTGCTTTATTTTGCTGATCGATTTCATAAAGCCACTTTAAAGATGAAGGTGTCCATAAAGGCTCTTTAGTTAAATACCCAAAATGGAAATTTAAATTACGTAATGGTCCTATTTGTAAGAAAAAAGTAGTTAGTAGTAGTTTTCGTAGCTATAATTTTACATATTTATAACAATCAGCTGATGCAATTTTGCCGATATCAGCATTTCCAACTTTGGTACATATTTCCATTTAAATGAACCTTTTGTTATTATTCAATGGCCTTTGCATTATGAAAACACTTCTTGTTTAAAGAACATTTAAATGACACTTTAACTAAAAGGATACTTTTGCAAAAGGAACTTTAAGAGTTTCATTATGAAATTGGCCCTAAGCGATACACCCTAATGTACATGGATACTATAGTCATACGTGCATATGTAAAATGTTTGCATTCTAGTTCATGCTCCTTTTGATTTAACAACTTGCCATGAAAATATTTTTGTTCTAATTTCATTAAAGCTAAACCCTTTTTAAGCGATATCATCTTATTTTTTAAATTGTTGGAATATTTTACTTTTTTATTTCTACTTAATCTTCGATTTAAAAAAAGTTTTCATATCATGATATTGCTTTGATTGCGTTCTCTATTGTTTATTTATTTTTCTAAATTTGTAACTTTTGTAATCCACTATTTAAATTAATATGATTTGGTATGGCTTAAGATTTAGTTAAACTATTTAGCACGTTACTTGTATTTATTTTTTGATTTGCAATTTGAAGTTTAAAATTTATTTTAAGTTCTAGTATGTATTCTACGTTTGCTTTAGTTTAAATGTAATTTGCCTAATTAGAAATTGTAGCTTAATGGTTTTTCTCTGAGTGTAGCACTGGTGCTCGCATAACTGCGTAATTGATTTTTGTTTTATTTATCACAGCATTTTTATTTATTTATTACGTATTCTTGCTAGTTTTTTATTGTTCCGGGCTCAACTTAATGAGAATTTGCCCATTTGATGTAATTTAATAAAAATATTTTATTTTTTATTTTTAAATTATTTTTTTATCTACATTTTGTCAATTTTGTCATATTTTTTATACTCGAAACAATAAAATTTTTGTATTGGATTTCACTTGGTCATATAATATGTTTGTAAATACTTGACCCTCGCGTCTTACCTTAAAAGAAGTCATATTTATTCCCTTAACATCTTGTGCCCATCCAAAGCTTTTTAAAATACCGTGCTACAACTATTTTTACACACAGAGAAATTAATATATTCGCGAAACCATGGGCATATATAGAAAAAATTTTATCTTTGAAATTTTACAACACTTATTTTTCGAAAAAAATTATATGTTAAGGACTCATATACACTCGACAACATCCTCGAATTCCCAAATTCTAACTTTATAAGTTAAAAAAACTAAATTATATTTCCGATAACTATTCGTCCTTGTGCACCAAAAAATTTAAATTTTTTTT